CATAGTACAATATAATACAGTATAGTGCCGCATAGTACAATATAATACAGTATAGTGCCGCATAGTACAGCTCTGTACTCTTACTGAACATCCATCTCTGGCAGCGATAGAAGAGTGTAACTAATATACCCTCCCTGCAGGTGTATCTCTGTAACCTACAAGACTTAATCAACCAGAACATCACACAACCTAAATAAAGCTCTTCCACACAAAGTATTTCATAGAATATAGAGGGTCTTGTATTGTTTTTACATTATACAAGCTGAGCTAAAATCCTAAAGCTCCTTCTTACGGAATCAATTTTCTTGATACCATTTGGTGTTTCTTTCTTTAGGACACTGAGTCACACAGTCAGATTTTAACTGCTCAAACCGTCAGAGTCCTGGCAATGAGTAGCACTCTCAATGGTCCTTACTGCAAATCCAGCATCTGGTAATCACAGCCAGTAACAAGAACCGGTGACCCCAGAAAGCCTAGTTTCTGCGCCTTTTCTTGCACTATTAGTCAAAAGTAATGCTGGTGCCTAAGTGTGTTTGAACCACAAACAGTAAACAGGACAGGCTACTGATCTACAACGCGATAGATGGTGAAAGTGGAGGCATAGGGACCCACAGCACTCCTTAGCTTTCTGCATGATCATTGAGCTCCTGCTCATGCCCTAACAGCTTCCTCTCATGCATAAGTATTAGACAAAAGTTAGATATCAGATGTTACTAACCACTTAAACTGGTACCACTGTACAATAAGGCTCCCTTTTGCTACTTACACATGGCAATAAGTCATTAATTAAAAAACAAAAACTATCATATCTTGTTTATAACTGTCTTTTGATGGTTTACAAAGTGTTACAACATAATTAATGACCTGATTATAAGCCATTTGTAAAACCTTTATAAGAGTACTCTTAGTGTAAAGTGCTCCCCTTAAACCAAATTAAACCATATGATTATGAACATATACCAGGGGTGGGCAATCTTATCCGCAAAGGGCCGGTGTGTATGCGGGTTTTTGGGATAACCTTTAGGTCAGCTGTTCAAATCCAGGTGTGAGGACTCTTCAGCCAATCAGTCCTCAAATTAGTAATCTAATTAGGGAGTTGCAGCGAAAACCCGCACACACACCGGCCCTTTGTGGATAAGATTGGCCACCCCTGATATATACCATTTTCAACATAGTAATGTTTTTAAAAGTTTTTTAAATTACTAAATAGAGAGATCGCTTTCTCAGTAATACTTCTTAGTAAAGATCGCCAGATTCTGTGAAAAGTTTCATTATACCACCCCACCCCCCAAATTATCCTGAATATGGAGAGATGGCAAGATGACAGTTTTATTTAATCTGGAAGTAAGTGCATGAATAAAGCAAAAAGGGTCAATGATGGTGATGTAAGAAAATCCGGTGACAGTCTACAAGAAACTGCTGACTGGGCTAAGCTGCATGTTACCTAATGGCAGACCAGTACCCAGGAACGCATCACAAGGTGACTAGACTGAGGAAAAGATCCCTGACATCTTCATGTCTCTCAGTAAACTGCTGTGGAAACCTTACACCTCACTCTGTACAAAGACATACAGAACGCTTCATGTGGCTGTTCAGTGATGCTATTATACAGACCTAACTGGGCTTTATGAAGGCACAGATTTCTCTGACTATACAATACAGTGTGAGCTGTAATAGTAGTGAATGAGGGGACAAGCTTCACTTCTACACGGATCATCTAGGCAAGATGAATGGAGGATGAGGCTTGATTCACCATGGTTACCCCACAGAGATGTCCCAGTGGAGTTCATGGTCACATTAAAGTATCCAGTGATTAAGAAGTACGACGGTCGATATCTATCTCATTCAGCTGGGCTTAAAGTGGGGGCTCACATCCAGGGTCAAGTGACATGACGGTGGGACAAGCATTGGACGGCCATGGAGGGAAGGAGGACACGGTAATGCGGAATGCATTACGTGGCTGTGCAGTGATACAGCTGTGTGGACCGTCCATGTCCAACCCATCTTCCGTCATATGGCTTCAAAGGTCAGCAATATCAGAAATCAGATAATACACGCCAGCTTGCAGACGTGGGTGTGTATGTATATATTCTGTCAATCAAACTGGTTCTTTAAATTAATGGTAAAAATGAGTAGTTGTCCTTAATAAATAAAATATATGACAAATGTGATTTAAATAAAATATATGACATGATTTATTGAAAAACGTCATGGTCGACAGGACTGTGGTTACGGCTTATAGAGTGTGGTTAAAGGTTTGTCACGGCCCTGTCTAGGGTCAGGGCAGGCGACAAAAGATTTTGACCTATATCAGGTTTTACTGATCTGCTACAATGACACAAATGATAACAATGCCCAAACGCTCAGGTCAGCGCACACATGAAATCACTACAGAGCCGTTATATTACCCGTGTCTGTGTAATCAGTGCAATGGCTCCCAGTTATGTTACTGGACCATGAATGCTATCATCAAAGACAGGGAGGGATGTTTTTAGACCAGTGTTTCTCAAAGCCAGCCCTCGGGGACCCCAGACAGTCCACATTTTTGCTTCATCCCAGCTCTGAACATAACTGAACCAAACAAAAACGTGGACTGTCTGATGAACCTCTAGGATTGGACTGAGAAACATTGTTTTAGATCATTTATTCTCAGCTCTCTGAAAGCAGATAAACAGGTTTTCATCTAAGAGCACAAATAGACATTTTTCACTTTTTTTCCCACAGAATTTCAACTCTTCCGAAATTTAGGTTCTTATCTCTTTAATACAAAGAAACGAGCCACAGTGTCACAGCTGTGTGGTTATACAATGGTCGTTTAGAGTACTGCGTTACACCATGATGCTGCACCATTACAAGAGTGTTTATTTAGATGTAAATGAAAAATAAATTGTATGTATAACAATCCCTGTGTGAAGTACATAAACTCACACAAGATGCCAGATACATTGTTTCTTAGAATATGAGCATTTATTTCAAATAACACTTGATGCCCGAATGTAAACTCAGGACCGGTAGAAAACTCTGATTTCCTCCTTTGAACTCATCCCTCTGCTTGTGATATACACACCTTAGAGTTTAGTAAACACACCAAAATAAAACATCCCTATTCCACTAAAGAAAGGATGGAAAGATGACGCCTTTCCCCTCAACTGCGCTGGTTACAGCGGCTCTGGTTACACGTGTAACTATTATTAACCATCCCTGACCTGCACGACCCAGGACCGGGCGTCGGTACCCCGGAGTATACGACTCTCCTTTCCTCAATCGTGGTCACATTAAGCAGCCGGGACCGACAGGCTTTTAAAACTTTCCGGGTCTGTTCATGGCAGATCCGATCTGCAACAGCGGCCGGTTTAACCAGTGGAAATGGATATGGTTCCTAAGCACGCTGCTTGCTCCTAACACCCCATTTAGTGTGTTTTCGCTTGGCCGCCTAATGACAGCATCTGCAGATGCATAACATACATGCAGCATTTAAAATGCATCCCGCAATGGTGCGCTTTCCCCGGAGACTGACTTACCCCCGTCCGCATAGGTCTCCACGCCGTATCCATCCTGCAGCCCGTTACTCCACGTCCCGTCGTATCTGGCAGGTGTGGAGTGGCTCAGACGGACCCCGTAGCGCCCCTTAAAGCCATGCGTCCACTCTCCACGGTAGGTCCACTTGCCCTTGGTCTCCACACCGAGTCCGTGGCGCTTGCCCTGCGACCAGTAGCCCTGGTACGTGTTCCCGCTGGGCCAGGTGTAGACCCCCACTACCTCGAAGCCGTGGGACCAGGAGCCGGAGTACTCCCCCTGACCCTTGGGTCCCGTGCAGATGCCGTGTCCGTGGGCTTTGCCGTCATCCCATCCACCACAGTACGTGCCTCCATCGTCGAAGTCGAATCGGCCACCCGTCATTCAGGAGGAGTGATTGTAGCGGATGGAAGCTGAGGTTCGGGCTTCTATCTTCTTACCGGATCAGGGCCAAAAAAGATGTCAGGGAGGTCGAAAGTGAAGTCTAGTGGCTCTGGAAAACAGCGGGGCTCCTTCAGCGGCGTTATTTTTTCATGCATCTATGCAATGACAGTATGCATGTTTCCGTGTGTGCGCGTACGCCTGTGCATGTGCGACTACGCGTGTGCATGTGAATGGTAACGATGAGCGGTGGGTAGGAAGGGTTACCAGAGGCGCGCGCCGCTCCTGCAGCCGGTCGCTGTTTTTTTGCCGCCCCCCTCGTACTGGCTGCAGAGGAAGCGACAGAGACGCGAAGTCTCCTAAACCGGGGGGGCAGCGCCGGCTCCTGACGTCAGTGCAATCGCGCCTCCCATACGGGTGCCAATCTCATATACCCGCACCGCTAAGCTGGGGGCTTTCTTTATATCGTTAATGTTTCATGTTATTCGTGGCTATAATATATATGTGAATACACATATTTGCCAAATTAAAAGCCAAACGTGGCTTTTATTAATTAAGCCGCTTAATTATAGGACTCTCAGAGCTATAGACTGATTTGCCTCCCAGCTCTGTAAATTTAAGGTTTGCCCCTGAAGTGGCAGGTAATGATGATGAGTTAAGCCCCGGCTTCACCTCGGAGTCACCTCGGAGTCATCAAGCATCCCAGCAGGAAGGATTAATCGCGCCTGACTGCCTTTTGTATTTTAAGCATACCAATCACTCATTCATTTTATCACCAAATACATGTAATATAAGTGGCTATACATACTAAACATTACACATGGCAACACAGGTGGTTTTAGCATATAGGGCTGTAGGCCTGCCGCTGTATCTGTATGACCTGCATAATTTGGTAAATCTGGTAAATGTCCAGAAGAGAGAAATACACAGTACCAGTGAAAAGACTGAATACATTTATGGAAATTTGTTTTGCAAAAGCTTAATAATAATAATAATAATAATAATAATAATAATAATAATAATAATAATAATAATAATTGAGCGAGGAGTCTTTGCTCCTCCCCCAACTTGCTCTCTGTAGGTCAGAGGAGGCTTGGCTACGAAGGGCAGCCGCCCATAGCAGCGCCCAGGGAGCTGGGGGTTAAGGGACTTACTGAAGGACCCACAGATGTACCAAGGCTGGGCTCGAACCGGCAACCTTCCAATCACAGGCGCAGAGGCTTTGTTTACTGTATATATGTATGCATATTAAAAACACGCATTACTGTATAAAAAACATAAGGAGTACTAAAATAGAAAACTGAAACTCCTCTCTAAATCCTGGGTACCTGAGAACAGCCACCATCTTTGATGACAAAGCGGCAGGCACCAGATGAACAGGTTTCAGCAGGAAATCACCTGACATGTCCGTCCAGCTCTTAATTGTGCAGGAGTATCGCAGAGTGACTGCAGAATGTTTGCCATGACAAACAAATTTATAGGAGTGAGGTCTGATAGAGCAGATCGTGGGTTTGAGATGTTCTTTACCTTCCAACTCAGGATGGACTGAAATACTTAAAATTTTTACTCGTTGGCCCATAAAATTGACTTCTACACACTCTGAAAAAAGTACCAATTTGTACCTTTGCTTGTCATTGGGACTGTACCCTCTAGGATGTGCCAGTTGTACGCTTAGCTGAAGGTAATTGTACCTTTTAAGGTACAGAAATGGAAACTGAGGAACATTTTTTGTACATTAATGTTGCTTGTACTTTGGGAGTCAATTTTTATATCTTAAAAGGTACTGAATTGTAAGGTATAGTCCCAGTGACAAGCAAAGGTACAAACTGGTACCATTTTTTTCTGAGAGTGAACTGGTACAGCACTGGTACAGTTTTGATTCCCAAGGTACAAGCAACATTAATGTACCCCAAGTGGTACAAAAGTTCTCTACCTTAAATTAGACTAAAAACATTTGACTGACACTACGTATATGTATATTTACAGGGAGTGGACAAAATAAGTACAGTAACAGAGGTAACCTGGTACTGGGGAGACCATACAAACTCCACACGAGGGATATTCAACCAGAATTTATTTTACTCGTGGCGTTCGGTCTGTTGGTGGAGGTCCCACCAACTCAAAGCGCTATTTTATGGTTAGAGTGACCTCTAGCGGCCAATACAAAGTCTTGCGCTAATTATTATTATTATTATAGTTTTTTTTTGTTGCTGTTTTCGCTGTTGATTTTCACGAATGATCTGTCCATTTAATAGATTCCGGAGTCACAGAAACGACTGCATGACTGCATAAGGGAAAAAGCTATCCTGATCATTTGCCCTGGATATAAACTGGTTATGGACGTTAACTGCTTTGAGCGCATCGCCTGTCCGCGCCTGAAAAACGCTCCTTGTCCCTTTAAAATATCATCCCCATAAGCTGGTCCTGCAGCTCCACCCAAGAAGCGACAACATGGCGTCGGGCAGCATCGCGGAGGTCGGCGCTGAGAAGCCGGAGGATGCGGCACCGCTGCTGGGATGCGCGTCCGACAAAGAGCCCAGATTAGTGCTGTACCACTGGACGCAGTCCTTCAGCTCCCAGAAGGTGAAAAACGCCTTTCCGCACCTCCTCTGTCTGGACAGGGTTTGTGGCCGTCATGGTGAGGCTTCAGGAGACGAAGCATCATGTTGGGATTAAGTGCGTGATCACGGTTAACAAATAACCGCGATCCAAGGGTTTCATTAAGCTCGTGTTGCTATTATTGATATTGTGAGGCGTCAGTATTACCCAGTGAGCCACCGTACCGCCCTGTCATTATTATTATTATTATTATTATTATTATTATTATTATTAGTAGTAGTAGTAGTAGTAGTAGTAGTAGTAGTATTCATAATAAGAAAAATGCAATAGCAAAAGCCAAATAACTAATTGTATAATATAATGCGACTATGCTGTCAAATTCACGGTGGATAGCACGTGCCCTTCCAGGTCGGGCCTTTCCAGGTGATCACTGCTGTCTTTGCTTACTTGCCTAGTGAGCTGTTAACAGTAACAGTACATTTACATTCACCAGAAGTGCACTTAGTGTCACTGTCCTTATGGGGGCTGAGCATGCGGCCTTTGGCAAAAGCCGTCATGATCGTCGTTCCTGTAACGTTTGTCAGCCGAGCCTGGCCTCAGCCTTGCCGTGCTTCACAGTGTGGCTGGAGTTGCATTTCTGGGTTTCTAAGGTGATGGCGGGGAAATGCATTAGGTCAGCTGGATGCAGTGTCCCCCATGAACTGCCATGTCTGCATCAGGATCATTTTTACACTCTTACAGTGTAAACATTTAGAGTTGTATAGAGTGTTACTGTGGGGTAACAGACAAAATTCCACAAGAAAAAAGGCTGAAAGCACACACTGAAACTAACACAGGCTAGCAAAAGTGAATGCATTTGGGGAACCCTCCTTAACAGTTGAAATGTAAAAACTGTGATTGTCAAATGATAATATACTGAGGAGAAATTGTTTATTACAAACCCATTTCCAAAGTTGGGATGTGTGTACAATGTAAATAAAAACAGAATGCAATGATTTGCAAATCACATTCACCCATATTTAATTTCAAATAGAACAAAGACAACATATGAAATGTTGAAACTGCAAAATTTTATTGCATTATAACAAATATAATCTCAATTAGAATTTCATGCCAGGAAAATGTTTCAAAAAAGTTGGGACACTGGCTTGTTTACCACTGTGTTGCATCACCTCTTCTTTTAACAACATACTGTAAAGGTTTGGGAACTGAGGAGACCCACTGCTGGAGGTTAGAAAGTGAAATGTTGTCCCATTCTTGCTTGATATAGGATTTCAACTACTCAACAGTTCTGTCATGGATTAGGTGTGGTACAGTATTATGGAGAACTTTTTGCGCATGTGATGCACACAGAGGAACAGGCACATTTTATTTATATGATAGGCGATACTGAAGTGGGTGACACTGTCCTGGGTTTGGGGTTCAAGTCCCAATCCCGCCTTGTGTGTCTGCAATTTGCATGTTCTCCCTGTGCCCTGCAGGTTCTCTGGTTTTATCCCATAATTCGAGATGTGCAGTTGGGTGAGCTGCCTTCTCAGCAATGCTTGCGTGTTTTCTCGCTGATGGTCTGGTATCTGTCCGAGGTGTTCTCCTGGTATACTGGAATACTGGAAGAATTCCAGCTGGTGCCCAGTCAAGGATTTCATGCCAACAGAGATATAATAAAGATACACTACCAGTCAAAAGTATGAACTCACCTACCCATATAAAGGTTTATTTATGAGAGAGAGGTTTATTGTCATATGCACAGAAAACAAACCTTCGCTGTACAATGAAATTCTTACTCCACATCCTCCTTTCACCATAGAAAATAGAATTAAAATATAAATGAACATAAATATGTAACAAAGTCTACAGGCAGCAGCAGTAATATGAACTAGTAAAGTGTCTGTGCATTTTCAGAGGTAGAATTGGTTGGTGTTGTTTATAGTGCATGGTCATTCACAAGCCTGTTTGCTTGTGGGTAGAAACTGTTTAACAGTTTTGTTGTCTGGGACCTCACCCTTCTGTAGCACTTTCCTGAGGGTAGAAGCGTGAACAGGCTGTGCTGGGGGTGTGTATTGTCCCTGATGATGTGCTGTGCCCTCCTGATGACTCTGGTGGGGTAAATGTCCTGTAGTAATATATACTTTGGGGGGGTGCAGCTCTATCGATTGGGACTGAGAAGGCTGACCGTTCAATCCTGTCATCGGCAGCATGATGCCACCATTGGGCCCTTGAGCGAGGCCCTTAACCCCAACTGCTCCAGAGACTGGCTGACCCTACTGTCTCCCCTATGCCAGTGCCATGAGGAGGCCTCCTGGGATGCTTTTCCAGTTCTCCGGAAGGAGGTCCCACATATATGCTGAGCTCATTGGCTGCTTTGCCTTCACGCTCTGGTCAATCACCTCCAAAACAATTTCTGTTTAGGTCAGGTGGCCTGGTCATGTGATGTGACACTCTATCACTCTATTTCGTAGGCGGCTTGGTGTGTCCAAACTTTTGACTGGCACTGTAGTGTTGCCATCTGTGCTGACTTTGGTAACCTCCTGCCCATTCTGTGTGCTCTCGCTTCCCCTTCTTCTTCAGGTGCGGCTTGCCATTGCTGAGAAGGGCCTGAAATGTGAGGAGTATGATGTCAGCCTCCCCCTGAGCGAGCACAATGAGCCCTGGTTCATGAGGCTGAACCCGGCCGGCGAGGTGCCCGTCCTGGTGCACGGCGACCGGGTCCTCTGTGACCCCACGCAGATCATGGACTACCTGGAGGAGCACTTCACAGACGGTGCGTCTGCAAATGCCTCCGCTTGCCTGACTTCGCTGGGGTGTAGAAAACGGCTGCTATTTATTTTCTTCTTGAACGGTCACTTCCTCGGTCACGGCCACACGCGGGATCTCCTGTTTCATTCGGTTGTTTCATTTGCCACACATTTCATTTATTCATTATTGTTTCTTTTTCTTTTTGTGGCGTCTTTTTCTCACGCTAGCTTGTCAAGTTGCAAATTCCTGTCGCTGGAATACGATTTAAAGACACTGAAAGCCAAAGGTATGATCGGCAAAACGCTAATTACGGCATTATTCACTGCACAGAGGGCATGTCACATGACGAGTAACATCATCACTGCTGATGTGCTGGTTCCTAGCTGGGTTTCACAGTCTCTGTCATTTATATCGTGAAGAACAGTGCTTTATCTGGATGGTATCTTACTGCTTAAGGTTTGAAGGCAATTTTTGGAGACCGCAAGTGGCCCTTTGGATGGCTGCTATTTTTATAGCCCGAATCCAGCTTCTGACCTGTGCAAATTATCCACGTCCATGTTTCACAGGTTTACCAAAGCCGACATGTCTCAATTTCACACTCAATTTCCAGCAGCTCTTTCCTCGTTCGAGTTACTTTTGCTCGTCGCTGATGTGTAAACGCGCTACCGTGACATATAACTGCACTTTTATTTGTTTCGCTTTTTGTCGCATTTTTCAAAGACCAAATGCAGAACGTTCTAGATGACCTGCAGGATTGAGAGCCACAGGAGCCACTGTCTAGCAGAAGTCAGATTCCAAACGACAAGTTGGGTCCAGCTTCTGACCTGTGGAAATTACGCACGACCGTATTTCACAGGTTTACCAAAGCTGACATGTCTGCTTTGTGTTTCAGTAGAAGTGCTCTGGAGAATGTACTGTCAGCATAAACATCATGTAGACATGTATGACCAGTCATGAAAAACCATTATAATCAGAGATTTGGCGCAGGTCTGCTGGAGCAACTGGGCACCGAACGTTCAGGTCAGAGGAGTGTGACGGTATTGTGTACATAGCAGCTGATTAACTGCAGTATGGTCATGGAATATGTCCAGTTTAAACTGCTTCTTAGTCTGAAGGAAAGAAACAGAGGAAAAAGCGGCTTCACAGTTAATTTGCAGATCACTCCTGCACTGTTCTGAATGCAGGACACTCAGTCCTGACTGAAATCGAGCAACCGCTAGCAAAGTCAAACAGATTAAAAGCTATCTGACCTCTGACCTCTATCTTAATTAAAAAGGAAATTAATGTAGAATTAATGTCAGTAACATTAATTCAGGAGAATGTTTATCTAACTCATTATCTGAAGTACGACCTCTTCAGATCCAATAGTAACAGTATTTTTTTCTTTATAAAGTTTAATTTGAGACTGGTATCTGTCCGAGGTGTTCTCCTGGTATACTGGAATACTGGAAGAATTCCAGCTGGTGCCCAGTCAAGGATTTCATGCCAACAGAGATATTATTTATTAGTTCACCTCAGAGCTGCTATGATTTTTCACGGCTGCCAGTGATGTAATCAGGACGGAGATCATTGTGTTTAAAGGAATCCTTTCAGGAGGTCAGGTCCTGCTGGCTCCAAGACAGCGTAATGCTTCACCTCCCTGTAAGCGCTAACTATTCCTTTACTTGTTCCCCAGAAAACACGCCTCGCCTCATGCCAGCAGAGGGCAGTATGTTCCTTCCCAGGGTGCAGCACTACCGGGAGCTCCTGGACTCCTTGCAGATGGACGCTTACACGCACGGCTGCATTCTGCACCCGGAGATCACGGTGGACTCCCACATCCCCGCTTACGCCTCCGCCAGGATACGCGGTGAGCTGCGCCCCCCCACCCCCACCTCAGAGTGAGCTGGACAAAGTCAGTCTGCCATAATGTAGCAAAAGGGAATTTGAGCAAAAGGAAATTCAACACAGCACAAATTGGAGATAAGACCCTTTTAAGAAGAGCTGAATAAGAAACCCCTATCTGAGCACTAACATCTTTCACCACTAGGGGGCACTGTGTGGCTCAGTGGGTTAGGATGCTTAACCCCAAATCACCTTAACCCATCCTGCTAAATAAAACTTTTAAAAATGAGTAATAGCTGTGATGTTACCCAGACTCCCATGCTGACACCTATGCCACCGATGGGATGTCCAGTGACAGTGGCCATTTGTGCTGAGTCTCTATAATGGATGCCCCCATCTGCAGCACAGATTGGAAACACGGAGTCCGAGCTGAAGAAGCTGGCAGCAGAGAATCCAGAACTGCAGGACGCCTACATCGCCAAGCAGAGGCGCCTGAAGGTAAACGAGCCCCACTGCATGGTCTCGGCACCGTGACGGCCGATTGGCTGGCCATGGAGAACCAGTGAGCGTAAGCATACAGTAAAAACAAAATTCCAGAAAAAAAAAAACTTTCTGACAGACTTGGCAAACAGAGATGTCATAGGAAAAGAGCCACACATTACATTAGGCGCTCTTATCCAAAGTGACGTCCATTTTGAGAAAGCAGGGTCAGAGTGTCCCTGGAGGAGCTGGGGGTGCAGTGCCTTTCTCAGGGCCCAACAGTGACATCACTCTCACACATGTGAGGGCTTATTAACTGATCCCAGACCAGTGAAGAAGGCCGAGGAATCCATGCCAATCCACTTTCGGGTAAAACTTAAAAAAGCTGTCCTACTGAAAATTAGCGTCTCTTCATTTCTTTAATTTCTTTGACTTCCTCTTTCCATGTTTTTAAATTATTCTGTATAAATGATGCGGGGATGTATCACAACACGCCCATATAAAGTGCCTTGGGTGACTCTTGAGAAAGGCGCTATATACACATAAATTGAATCAAATTGATTTCAGTCCAAGCTGCTGGAGCACGACAACATGAAGTACCTGAAGAAGATCCTGGATGAACTGGAAAACATCATGGACCAAGTGGAGACGGAGCTTCAGAGGAGAAGCGAGGAGACCCCAGGTAGGATTGGAGTGGTGAACGAAGTGTAAACAATGTTAAAAAACACCCGTTTGCTGCTGCTGAGACTGTCTGCATCAGGCCTGTTCTCTGTTTCATCCTCCCCTCCACGTGTGAGAAAGAGGAGGGAAAGCAGGCCTGGCTCTGCGGTGACTTCTTCAGCATGGCCGACGTGTGCCTCGCCGTCACGCTGCATCGCCTCAAGTTTCTGGGCCTTTCCCGTCGCTACTGGGGCAATGGGACCCGGCCCAACATGGAGGCATATTACGAGCGCGTCCTCGCCCGCCCGGCCTTCCGCAGGGTCCTTGGGAGTGTCAACAATATCCTAATCTCCGCTGTGCTGCCTGCAGCTTTCCGAGTGGCCAGGAAAAGGGCCCCCTCCTTCATCGGCATCGCCCTGCTGGCTGGGGTCTTGGGGGGGGGTGGCTATCTGGCCTTCCTCTTCCTCAGAAAGCGACTCTCTATTTCACGCTGAGGATCCAGAAGCTCTTTCCTCGTTCGAGTTACTTTTGCTCGTCGCTGATGTGTAAACGCGCTACCGTGACATATAACTGCACTTTTATTTGTTTCGCTTTTTGTCGCATTTTTCAAAGACCAAATGCAGAACTTTCTAGATGACCTGCAGGATTGAGAGCCACAGGAGCCACTGTCTAGCAGAAGTCAGATTCCAAACGACAAGTTGGGTCCAGCTTCTGACCTGTGGAAATTACGCACGACCGTATTTCACAGGTTTACCAAAGCTGACATGTCTGCTCTGTGTTTCAGTAGAAGTGCTCTGGAGAATGTACTGCCAGCATAAACATCATGTAGACATGTATGACCAGTCATGAAAAACCATTACAATCAGAGATTTGGCGCAGGTCTGCTGGAGCAACTGGGCACCGAACGTTTAGGTCAGAGGAGTGTGACGGTATTGTGCACATAGCAGCTGATTAACTGCGGTATGGTCATGGAATACGTCCAGTTTAAACTGCTTCTTAGATAGAAGGAAAATAAAAACAGAGGCAAAAAGTGGCTTCACACTTTACTGGCAGATCACTCCTGTGCTTTTCTGAATGCAGGACACTCAGCTGTACTGGCTGAAACTGAACAACTGCTACCAAAGTCAGACAGCTTAAAAATAATACAATAATGTAATCCTATGGTGAATAAGAACCAGGGCTTCAGTTCAAGCAGTGAAAAGTAGATTTAGGTCATTTTATGCAGAAATCCTGATTGTTCTGCAAGTAGAGATGCGCCTCAATGCTAAATTGTACAGCCGAGTAACATTTGTCTATATTGTGGTTAAATTTTATTTATAAACTTTAATAAAGGAAGAAGTGAATTATTATCTGTCAGTTTTGCTTTCAATAAATGCTGGCATTTTTTCCAGTATGAGACATAAGCACCACTTGCAGTTGCCTCTAGGTGGCAATATATAACCATTATAAAGGGCTGCGAGAAGCACTGATGTAGTGGAACAGAGCTTTAGATCAGTGGTCAGCAGCCCTGCTCCTGGAGATCTACCACCCTGCAGAGCTTAGGTGCAGCCCTAAACTGATACAGATAAAAAAAAACCACAGTGTTGACCACTGCTTTAGATGACTCCTGTGCCCTGTACTACAAAGTGGGGTTACTGGCTTATCGGGGGAACTTGTCGGATATAAGGTAGTCTGGGCAAAATGTAAGTGAACGAATATGAAGTCCATTTAAACTGTGGTACCTTAAATCCGACAAGTTACCCCGATAAGCCAGTAACCCCGCTTCGTAGTACAGGCCACTGGTTGTGTGTTTATGTGTGTATGCAAACGATGACAACAACACCTCACTAAAATATTGAAATAAACATTTCGTCAAGCCCCACGAGATTTCAGGTGGCAGCTCCGATTGTCCTGACATGCTGATGTTTGGTTGTAACAGGTGCATCCAAATTATTTGCATAACATTTTAAATAATATTGATTGATCATAAGTGGCTTTGTGGTCCCTCTCATTAGGCCACACCCCCTACTGGGTTGTAGAGTGATGTATAGTGACACATTTACATGAGTAAATGAGTGACTGGCAGGAATAAGACTGCTCCGATGCTCACAAGCGTGCACACCGCCATGTGAGACAGCTGATAACTCCTCTGGCTGTGAGCTGGGAGGTTCATGACACACTGCTAATGGTAATGCTATCATTGCAGGGCATAGTGTGAGCTGAGCTTATTCCCAGTGCTCACAGTATAGGGCCTCTCCTGGATCACTCTGCTGTGAGGCAGCCTGTCCCCATCCTGCCGTCTCAGAGGGACAGCTTCAGCTTTATAGCTGGAAGGTAGACAGGACAAACGGCTGGGCTCCCATGGCTGTGGCGGTTTGTGGGGGGGAAGGGGGGGGGGGTTGGCACAAGAGAAGAGAGGACAAGAAGAAGTAGCGCTTCAGACAAAAACAATAAATGTCCTCAGGAACATTCAGCACCTCTCGTTTATTGCAGGACAGATGGGAATTAATGCAGATTCCAGTAACCTTCGTGAGTTGTGTGATTATGAGGATTGCATGAACCCTTAACTGTACTAACAGGTGTAGATAGATGTTGGGTTATAGCTGCCCAGGAGCAAGGCCTTCTGCTTCAGGACTCAGCTTCTCTGTTAGCATGGGAGGGGATGCAGCGATCTGTAGCTGCAGCGAATCATGCGATCATGCTCGTCATGTTCTTACCAAGCTGGTGACGTGCATGCACTGAGGAAAGCGAAGGCGCACCGTGGGATCCTTCACATTTGATTTTGATTGGAGGGGCGGCTACGTTTCTAAGATGACTGGTTTGGTGTTGCCCACTAAGCCGTGTTGTGTAACAGCTGAAGTTACAGGAAGTGCACGACCCAGGCCAGCTCCAAGAGAAAATGCTTAGTACGTGTTTTTGAAATGGTCATGTTCAGCTTTTCACAGCTTCCCACTGGAACGAAGAAAAATATACTGGTTTACTGGATCGTTCTCACAAGTTCTGAGAAAGAACACGGCCCTTTCTAGAAAACGACTGTCACTGGCTTTGGGGGTTTTTTGTACGGCAGTGTTTGCTGACGCGGTTGCCGGGCTTTGGGCTGTTGACACTGCCGTTGAAAAGGCCCCCTGTCAGTTTGCACATCGCAGATTTATCATCAAACGCTGAACCTTCATCTGTCTCAGTGGGCTTTGTTCAGCATGTTTGAACGAGCTCTACATCTACATACAAGGCAGTGGACCATAAATTCAACCTTCATTTCACGGTTGCAGTACAGTTCAGTATACAGTGCCCTTAATGAATAATTTAGAAATTTAATGTGGCAAGATCTATGAGGGATAAGAAACAAAAGTTGGGCTACACCACTGGAAACCCCAAAGTGAATTAGCTGTTCCCCACTGTGCTTAACATTTGTAAATAAACAGTGTCATGAATCGCAGGGCATGGACCAGGGAGGCAGGAGAAAGCCATGAAGGATCGGGAACGAGGGATTTAATAGGGAAATGGAGAGTCTTACGAGGCAGACACTTCAATGACAGGACTAATTCATCACAGGGAAGCACTTAACTACAGAAACTTAGACAGAACTAGGAACAGCTGGTAACATGGGGATTCCACACGTGGTTAACGAGGGGGGTGTGGCACACTGGAGGAGCGGTACGATTGGGACATGACACACAGAACACTGCATTCACATTTTTGTAGTTGGTGCAAGTAAAATAATTTACTTTGTACTTATATTCTGCCAAACTTTTAAAGATTATTCAAAATTGTTCAATGAAATTATCTCATGTTACAGTTCAAGTTTCAAGTTTATTGTCATATACAGATAACAATGGGACATCATTACCTGTAATGAAATTTCTTGGACCCAAAGCCCCCTGATGGTTAGACAGTGTTTAATATTTGCAAGTACATATAAAAAGGCTGTAGTACAAGAGATTGTAGTGTGAACATATACATGTACATATACACTCCTGCATATGTACAAAGGTGAATTTAAAGTGACTTTAGTTGTAAAGTGAGTGTAGAAGGAACAGTTCAGCCCTCTCCTGTACATTCACTAAACAGAACCACATCTGCTGACTGTCAGGACCCTTAGCTGCCCCAGGCAAAATACCCAAAATACCATCATCTGAACAAGGAACTAAAATACTAAAAAAAAATACAATAGACAACAATATAGACCTGCTCCATAAAATAAGATGCGACAAATTAATACATGAAAACAAGTAAGGCGGAATAAAATAACATGTCACCAATTAATACAGTGGTGGTGGGGGGGGGGGGTTGTCCCGTTAAACAGCATAAACTCCCAATGAGCCTTACAGTCGCATCACCTTCATGTCCTTTGTACTGGTTTCCTCAGAGCCGTTACTGGTCCTGCACCCATGTGCAGCAAGTCGCTCTTTCAGACATACTCTCTTCCTCTTCGGCCGGCAAGCCCAGGCCACCTGCGTATCCCTCCCCCTTGTGGGAAATCTCACTCTATATCTCTCTTATGCGTGTTTCCTGGATGGTGGAACTTGTTCCGGTCATCATCATGTTTCCAGTCAAGCTGAGAAATATACTTTTTCTGCCTAGGATGTGGACACAGCACGTAGTACTGGCTCTGGTACCCCATATCCATGCAACGGCTCCTCCTGTGCAGAGACCAGCATGTAGTACTGGCTCTGGTACCCCATATCCATGCAACGGCTCCTCCTGTGCAGAGACACACTCTCATATGCCTTCACCAAGTCCACAAAACACATGTGGACTGTTAGCATGTTCTCATAAACCCTCACGTACAGCCAGTCCCCAGGTTAAGAACATCCGACTTAAAGGCAACTCGTACTTATGAATGGACTGTCATAATTATATTAAAATTATATTAAAAATTTGGGTTAAATACAATGGTTTGTAATAAGAAATGCACGCACTACTTTGTGATGCTCGTGTAAACATTACATGGTTTGTCGGCTTGTACCACGGCAGAGCACGTTTGACCCCAAAGGTCTAGTTCATTTGACTAGTGTGGTTACTCTGGACCCTGCACCACTTCAAGCAGGCCCAGGAACGGTTCAGTTGGACTCGGACACGGTACACATCCAGTGTGATTGCTACAGTAACTGTGCCGGAGCACAGACATGACGTCAAGGATTTGACTGGCACACACATGTGCACATGTACACTGTACATGAATTGTACAAGGAAAGAACGGATTGGGCAGGCTGTACAGATTGGGTGGCGACAAACATTTCACAGAACTTGCTGGAAAGGGATGACTTTGGTGTGCAACAGAAGTGCAGAGTTTGCTGGAAATTTCGGCTGACAAGAATATCAAGGAACAAATGGATGCAACTGTTATTATACGTGCAGGACAATTACATGAAAATCACTGCAGTGCAGACTCAAGAGGGCCGTGTGTCATCGCACCCAAAACGACTCCAAATAAGCCACAAAATAAGGACTTTATTTATGAACTCCATTGTGCTGTGCGATAGCGCTTTTCAGTAATATTTTACTTAAGGCCATGTTTTTAGTAATTTAGAAACACATTCATAAATAATAATACATTCATAAAGTATTACGAACATGACTATACATATTTATCACAAGACATACATTAAGACCTTGTGTATTATGCATTATAAATGCTTAATGAAGCTCCCATGTTTAATGCACTATAGATACCTTTATAATGCATCACAGTGGAGCATGCTCTGCTCCCCTGGTTAAACACAGGAACCTCTTTCCCCATTTGCCTTCCATGCAACATTGAAGACGTATGTCAGCCACATCACCTAAACACCAATCTTTGGACAGATTTCATCTACCCCCCTGCAGCCTTTCCACTACTTTCATCACCTACTCAGTTCTGCTACAGACTCTGTTTCCTGTTGAGTGGGCATATCCACATGGTTCAGGAGTTCATCAAAGTGTTCTTTCCGCCACCCAACAATATCTCTTCAACCTTGGCTGAGCCTGTGCAAAGCCACATCTCGTCATCCTGAAGTTTTCCCGAAGCATCTTTGTGGTCACCTTTCTCCATGGCCTCTCCAAACATCTCCTTTACGTGGGCTTTTGTCCCCACTATGTCTTTCACATTATTTCAGGCCTGTCAGTATCTTTCAGCTGAGACCCTCGTGCAAGCATTAGCGTGAAGGTCTCCTTCTGTAGCTTGTCAGCTTACCTCACCACCGATATTCACTAATAGTTCCTGTAAGTTACCACAATAACAAACACTGCTGCAACATTCAGTACCTCAAACATGGTCCATTTGGACTCAACATCCCCAATCTCATCTGGCACGTAGGAGAAGTTTTTCCGGAGATGTGAGTCGAATTCATCTCACACTCAAGCTTCAGCCAGACATTCCAGAAAACCT